GCCTATTGATTTTGGGCGAATTATGTCGTATATTTAGAGAGTTATTAAATTTTTTCGTGTTGGGACACAAGGTGTCACTATGGTGTAAGAGCGCTGTTTTGAGTTCCCCCAAGTTTCGATCGATAAGTCTTCGGTCTCTGACCGATATTTTTGTTAATTAGGTTATGACATCAATGATAAAATATTATTAAAAATTATACGCAAAAAAATATATTTATAAATTCGCCAATTTATACAACTTAACGTAACGGAAATTATTTAGAATCAGGCATTCCCATAATCTCGAGGACACCAATAAAAGCACGTTAATGTTAAAACTTCTATCTTACTGTCCATAAAACAGGCTCAAATAAGGAAGCTGGAATGTATTGTTTGAACTTTCACAGATTCAATATATGCTGTTCAAATACTGGCAAACCCATTATATACTGTTACCTTTGACTACGACGTAATAAAGCACCTTTTTACACCATATTGCGACAGACTGAGAAATATTGCCGTGGCGACATCAAGTAATAAAAAATAAATCAAATTTCAATTTAGAACATAATATTCAACAGAATATCAGAAATGATATCAATGAAATCTAAAATAATTCATCAGTCATTTCAATCGGAGAAATTTTTATGGGATGGTTATAGTCAGCGACTCGCATAAAATATGTTGCGTAACACTGCAGGGCGGAATGGTAAACAATGCTACCTACAATAGTCTGCCTCAATCTAGTCCGGGTGCAGAATACGGTGAAATCCATGGTTTTGGCAAAGGGTGTTTGTTGTTTAATTGAATAACCTGATTTAGTAGGTTAGCAGAGAATTGCCAAAAATTACCACATTGACATTTATATGGATACGAACATCTGCATTATGAGATGATGCAAAGATCAATTACAGTAGAAACCTCTTTTCGTGACGCGTATTACCCACATTTCTGACAATTTTTCACTCACACCACAAGTAGGATCCAGGATAATATTCATATTTTTGCGTTTAAAGCAACGCATTACAAAGACAAGGACATGGAATGAATCAGTTAAATTGCATAATAAGCTAACACAAAGTCCATTGAGTAGGAGTCACGCCTATGATACATGCATTTTTAAGATAACAGCGACATATAAATGGCCGAATGTATGAGGCATGCGAGGTCAAAGCTCACCTGGTATGTTTGATGAAAGGGAGTTTTCAAACTTGCGTAGGCGCTAGCTTTTATTGTACAAGTCGTTTGCCTACCTCGTTTTACTAAACTCAATTTAGATAACTTTATAATAGGTTGTGATGACTTTATTTTTTGCGTGAAAGGTGTTTGGTATCTATCTGTTGTTAAGGATGTAGATTAGAGTACCATCACAAAATATTGTGAGTGAGTGAGTGAGTTGATATTTTTTTGAGAACTTGATCCACTCACCAACAGACCAATGGGTGATTTAGTTTTTATATTTTTATATGTGTAATTTGACGTCCGGTGTATCCCTGCCTTTTTAATTTACAATAGTAATAGTTTATTGACTTTTTGGCACAAAATCAATTTATCTTGAAGTTTTTTTTAATTTGAGTGTCTACGAAATGCAGCCGCTCGAAACTGAGAGACCTTGCTGGGTGGGTACGCCGTTAAATCGAGTAAACAAGAAAACGTAAAGTTTTGTGAACGTCTCCATAATATTAAAATCTGTGGCAACCAAAAATACAAAGTTTACAGACTACGATCTCAATCTAACAAGTCTATTGCACCACGCAGTTTTTAATAACAACAGTTATTTAGGAAAAATTGGATAAAAGCAGCAACTCACGTCAGCGCCAGGCAGGCTAGATTGAATCAACCAACGAGCCGGATTTGGCCCTTCGGCGTAGTTTCCCCATGCCAGGGTTATACATTCAGACTATTTTTAGGACTCAATAAAACGAAGCTTCAAAACTCGAATTCCAGGAGGGAAATTCTGCGCAATATCGGAATATTTTCCAGCCGCGAATAAAGAATGTATTTTTAGCGTGTACTTTGTATTCACATATCTAAGATAAAATTTGGTTTACAGTTGCTTAAACCAGCGAGACAGGGGTAAAAAATTATTAAAAAAATACTAAATTACGTTAGACACCCATTTGCTATATGTGTGATTAGGTATTTTGTTTCGGTTATAAATTATTCATTGACGCTGCCACGGGAAACCGTAGCCTGTCGCACGAATGAAACTTGAGTTTCTTGTATCATGTCGAGGCAGTATATTTTTGTAACATACGTAAGTATTTTGCAGGTCAAGCATGAAGCGAAACAATAAACCGTGTTATGAATATCGGAGGCAATACAACGAAAAATATAGTATACGGCTAAATTAGTTGCATTTAGCAGTAACTGAAATAAATAAACGCCCAACTTATCAGATCTAACATGGTACAATAATGTATTTAGGCCACAAAAATAGACGTATCAGTAGGTAATCGTTACAAACAATAATTTCTGTTAAGCGAAGAAAAGTATGCGTCCCTGTAAAGACTTACTCGGTTAATGTCCTTCAAAATTTATCGGTTTTGAATTCGGGATGTTGAACAGTAAGTAGTCCGAGAAAAAAGGTTGTGTATTCATCCACTAAAAAGTGTGTTTAAATGTCAAGATTATTTAACAAAATCTCAATCGGTGATATTTTTCCGCGATTAGGGCATATATGCAATGAGTTGTAGAAAAGTTTTCCAATTAATCAATGCAGCGTCAGGTTGTCCAAGGACTGTTTTTGTTTGAATTAGTTTCATTTTTTCAGTAGATTATAAATTTTATTTTACAATCTTATTTAAAACTTCATTCATAGTTTTATTTGTTGAATATAGAATGAAAGATAGTAAAACGCTTTTGCATTTAGGTTTTTATATATTTTTTGTGGTTTATTCTGAATTCCTCAAATTCAAAATATTAGTTATTTGTGTGCTAAGCGTTAATATGTTCTACCGTTTACTGACCAAAATCTATTCATAGCTGTAACTTCAAACCGTCTACCCATAATGATGGATTAAAAATGTTTTGACTAGAAAATGAGCGATGCTTGAATTTCCTTATCAGCCATTCTACCAGAACTTTACTCCTTTATTGTTTTGTTGAGGTGGGAATTCTTTACTAGCTCTATGAGGAAATATTCAATGCGCTTCAAACTAAGAACAACAAACTGAAGCAGTGCAAACTGAAGGCTTTCCGCCTCATTCGAATATTTTCCTACTGCTCGTACTATAGAAATGAGTGAAGAACAATTTTGTAATTTTCCCATTAATAATCTTTGATAAATTTCGTAAAAAAAGATTGTCTCAGCCATGTACTCGTAAAATAAATCGAATTAAATAAAAATAAAAGCTTGGAGCGAGGTTGATTTCTATAGTCATTCAAAATATTTGCTCAAAATTTTAGTCGTCACTAATTTCTGACAATTTTATTAGGCATCTATACCAGGCTTATTCTTTTTTAGCTGATAAAAATACATCATCTCTTTGATTATTGATTCCTAACTTTTATAGTGTCATACATCTTTTTATGAATTGAATGTGCACTCTATAAAACGAGACTAGTTGGTATGAGAATTATTTAATAGAAATGTATGGATAAATTGATCTAACTATATTGGTGCTGCTTCCCTTCACACAGCTCGCAATAAAGTGGTCGGACAGAGTCGAATCTAAACATTCTGGTATTTACAAAAATAGTTGATAACTACCCAGATCTTTAGTTTAGTTTCGGTTATAAATTATTGATCCACGCTGCCACGGGAAACCGTCGCCTATCGCACAAATGAAACTTGGGTTTCTTGTACCGTGTCGAGGCAGCACATTTTTGTAACATATGTAAGTATTTTGCATGGCGAGCATGAAGCAAAACAATAAATCGCCTGATGAATATCGGAGGCAATACAACTACAAATAGAGTATACGGCTAAATCAGTTCCATTTAGCAGTAACTGAAGTAAACAAATGTCCAACTCATTAGTTCAAACATGGCACAATAATGTATTTGGGCCAGAAAAATATGAGTATCAGTAGGTCATGAGTTACAAACAAAAAATTTCTGCAAAGCGAGGAAAAATATGCGGCCCTGTAATGACTTACCCGGTGAAGTCTCTTCAAAATTTATCGGTCTTAAATCCGGGATGTGTAACAGTAAGTAGTTCGTGAAAAAAAGCTGTGTATTTAAATGTCAAGATTGTTTGGCAAAAGCTCAATCGGTGATATTCTTCCGCGAGTAGAGCATATCTGTAATGAGTTGTAGGAAAGTGTTTCAATCAATCATTGAAGTGTCGGCTTGGCGAAAAATATTCCTTTTTGATTAATATAATTTTTCCAATATATAATAATGAATATTTTACTATCAAAATTGGATATTAAATTATAATAATATCATAAATGATAATCCTATTTAAAACTTAATCCAACGTTTAAGTTGATGGGTATAGATTCAAAGATAGTAAACACCTCTAGCATTTGAGTTTCTATATTTTTCGTGGTTCATTTAGAATCCCTTAAATTTGAATTAAACATTGAAGGTTTGTGCGCTCAGCGTTAACTATGTTTCGACACGTATTGTCGGAGATCATATTGATCTTCTTGAAATTCCATTACCATCGGGACTTCACTCCTTTATTTTTAAAGTGAGATTTCGCTTCCCGCCTAATCAGAATTGTGTGCTTTTATCTATGTATAATTTATAGAACAACAAGCTGAAGCAGTGTTTAGGCATCCCAGCGCATTCAGGTACTTGCCACATCGTATGTTTTTCTGCATTAATAATCATTGATTTATAGCAAGAAAACTGAAAAGTTCCCGTTACTACATGTAGCACCAATAAAATTAATTACAAATTATACGTGTAAATGGTTCAATTAAACAATTAAAATATAGAATCAAGAAAGTTCAAGTTTTGCAGTGAACCCTCTAACTCTTTGTAAACTCAAACATCATAGGGATATTGATTTCAAATGAATCCTTTCTTAGATTTTTTTCATATAACTCTTGTCTATTTGATCATTTTACAGTGATATAACTTTTCATGAGTGTTAAATAGTAGACATCGACAAAATGTCTGGCCCTTCACAAACACTTTCTTCTACGAACTTGTGCAATCCCCCATCGGCAAGTAGGCAAGATACTCAGGTAATGATGTTTGTTCAAATCATTTCTGATTGAATAAGTAAAAATTATTTAGATTCAATAGTACTGCATTAACAGTTTTATTCACAATTCATTTTAATAAAAAAATCAGCAGTACGATTAGAGATTTTTGAGTTGTTGTTTTTTCATAATTTTGGATGTCCGTATGTAAATTTAGAAATGAATAATGAGTATTTTGCCAGCAGAGTTTTTGATTTTATTAGTGATATTTTTAGGAGAGATCTTTGAAAGTGCCTCCAAGTGGCGACTTTGAAGAGAGTGAGATGTGGAAGATAATGATGTTAAAATTAAATGAACAAGGGGAAAAACTGGTAAACATGATTCAATTTTATTTTCTTAGTATTTAATGGATTCAACAAATAAAATATTTTGCAAGTTTTTAATGTTTGTTAAAGATTGACGGCTATCTGGAAACTTTTTTTAGTACTGATTAAAAATAGAGGTAAGATCGGGCCCAAAATTTCCAGCCCGGTCCGACCCAGACCCGTGGGTATTAAACCCGTCCAAGTCCGAGCCAGACTAATTAACTGGATTTGCAGGTTCGAGCCCGAAGCAAACCCGAAATTTCATATTTTATTCAGGAGTTCTTTGAATTGTCATTGTAAGAGTTTAGTAAATTATATGTTGATGAGACAACTTCTGTTTTTTTGCAGACCAGTGGTAGTCTCTTGTGGCCAAAACACAGCCGAATCGACTCATTTAAAAAAATCAGCGATAGCGACCCGGACGTAATGATTGGCATTTCATGCCCAAAATTCGCCCCGGGTCGGGTCAGGCTTGGGCTTCAGGTCTTAGCTCCAATTAAGACTAGCAACAAAGTACTAATGCATTATATACTACCTGTAGTACTACCTGCATGCATAGAGTTGTTTTGCAGTGGGAGTAGACTGAAAATTAAAGAAAACGTAAAACAATTCATAAATCTGAGTCCAAAAACTTTCTCAACCAAAAACTCAAACAAAGTTTTTTTTAAAAAAATTTCACAGGAAAAAAAATACGATCAGAAATTTCAAGAGCAGAGGGATGAACATACACAAGCTATGGAGAAACAAAAAAGGGATTTGGTTAGACTATTTAAACTTTTGCGGATCAGAATAGAAAGATACGGATTTCACTAAACATTCTTTTAAGTAGTATATTGAAACACAACCAAAATTTTATACAAACTTTGCATGATAAAAGGTATTTATATATATCTAGTAAAACCCAATTTGAATAAAATAATTTTTTGAACAGGAAGAAAAATACGATCAGCGACTTCAAAAGCTGAGTGATGACCACACAACAGCCATGGATAAACAAAGGAGCGATTTGGTTAGATTAGTTATTATTATTCAATTAAACAATACAATATGGTTTGCATCTACTAAAGTAATTATAATGTTGTTTTAGATTGTTATAAACGTGCGGCGCCAAAACTTCCTGAACTCAATCGTATGCCAATTAATTTTTGGAATGAGTATGTGCATTTGGTAGCAGGCTATTGTAGTAACCCATAAACTAATTACTAAAAAATGGCTTCAAATTTTCTGTATTCTAAACTAGACTATGATAACAAATATATTCATTTTCTACTTTGTTTCTATTTTTTCTATCAGAAAATGTTTCAAATATATCATATTTTTTGATTAGCGAAAATCTATTTGAATTTGTTGTTAATTTGCTCAAATTTCATTTAATATTGAAGTATTTTGCATACTATACCAAACGAATAATTCGCTTTTTCTAGTTTTATTAACCCAATGCGTATTCCGACGGTCATGAGTTACTTTTTAAATCTCTCACAGAAACATGTTTTCTCCAAGTTCCAACGTGTTAAAATCACCAATTAGCTTTCGTTAAATTCCGCTAGATGTTGCTAGAGTGTGATGACCGATTTTTATTCTTATCGTGGTGGGATGTTAAATCATAATTTGCTAAGTTTCGTGATAGCTTAAGTGTAAACTATTTGGCTATTTTTATGAGAGTTACTATACTTACCTCCTCTTACAGACAAAACAAGCTGACGATTTGAATATATACCAGAAGCGATAGGAACGAATTTTCTATTTTCGCCAATTGCGCACTATATTTCCTTTCCCTTGAATTTTAAACGATATTTTTAAATAATAAACAAACTGAAATGTGAACGATTTTCTTGACAAAATATTTGAAAAAATTGTTACTTGGTGATTTGTAATAGTTATTTTCATGGCAAAATCAAAACATTTAAAGTTTAATAAATAAAAATCCATTACAGGAAAAGAAACTTCAAGATCAAAATAATATGCACGCAGAAGCAATGCAGGAACAAAAGAATGAATTGGTTAGAGTACTTATTCATTTGTAACCAATACATCAAACTACAAAAAAGATTTGATTCACCCTCATGACTTTTTTCTATGGTCTCAATGGAGTCAATGACATTTTGGTTATATAAATCACTAGTTTAGATGTCAATAACAATTTTGTTTTGTCTCCAGGAACAGGAAAGCGAGGATACCATTAAAAATCTGAAAGAGCATTTCAAAACTGAAATCGAAGAGTTGAAATCGAGACCATACCCTGAAGTAAGTTTTATACTTTATTGGCCTAAATGTTACACAAAAATTTGTTCATTCACTCATTGCACTAGAAAAATAATTGGAATAAAAAATTAGATGTTTGTTCGGAATTTAAAATGTTGTGCTTTTTATTTTCAGCATCCTGACATTTTATTCAAACAATTGGGAGGAGAAGTAAGTTGAATGCATTGTGATTAAATAGCAAGTAAATCGTTTTGTGTACCTTAAAATTGTTCTCTAAATTGTTTTAAAAGGTTTTATTTTGGGGTCGATCGTTAATGTTGTAAATTCACCGCAGCTAAGCATTGAATTGATTTAAAATTTCAACACATTTTAATGGTTGAAGGCAATAGAATGTTTAATTTCGTTGTCAATATTTTATTAAAAAATTTGATGTATTATTTCATTTAAGCAAAGGCTCTCATTGTGCCAGTACCAATGCACAATTCCAGTGCTCCCTTGTCAAAACGTTAAATTGGACAAATACAATCTCAAAATTGACATTATAAAGTATAGGCGAATTTTATTTTACAAGCTACTAACGAAAAACAAACAAATCGCAACCCAATTTCAAGTTTGCGAAAATCTGAATCATTCTTGTTTTGTAATTTATGTAAAATATTACTAGTCAGGTAATATTAAATCATACCTAGATAAATGAGAAATAACTAAATTTCTGTCATAGATTTTAATTTTTATTTATATTCAGACAACTGTTTCCAGCTTCATAGACAGCTTGACAGAAGGAGTGGAGAAAAGGCTTAAAGATAAAGCGGAAGCTCTGGAGTGCTATCAAAAATGGGTGGCAAAAGCAAAGTCAAAAAGGTTTAATAGGGTGACAACAAGAGTTGCTGAGGGTGGCGGTGTAGGGCTTGCGATTGGTGGTGCTGCTACTGCTGCTGTGCATTGTTCCTTAATCTATGGAAGTAGCGCAGCCTTGGCAAAAGCAGGGGTGGTTGGTTTAACTGTCGGCATTGCTGCTGGTCCAGCTGCAGGTATCGTTCTTGGATGCGTTGGAGCAGGATGCCTTATCGTTCTTTCTGCGTATGGCATTTTTTTGTTGTATCGTAAATACAAGAAAGATAAAGCTTTAAAACAACCAAATCGTGAATATCTCCTTGATCAATTGGCACAAAGATTTATTATCGAAGCAGAAAATAAAAAAAAGGTTGATTCAATGGCTTCAGAAATCATTTCCAACTTGACCATTGATCTATTGCATGGAGACGCACCCGCCGAAACATAGGCCCACATGCCTATATACTTGAAATCCAAGTACTATTGTGGCCTTAAAAAAGTTGTTTTTGTTTTCTTCGGAATTTATCCAATGTATATTCATTCACGTATGTTACCCGAGTATTACTAAAACATTATCAAAATTGAGAATTTCGATAAAATTTTATTCGTATAATTTACAGCAAATTGAGATGTTTAGATTTAGACTGATCTCCTTCAATGACTTCGTTTCAGATAATTAGTCATATATAGTTTTTGAATTTTGTAGATTTCTTTTTTTGTGTGTAAATATCGCCTTCCTCATGCTTTTTGTAAATAATATCATTAATTTGGTTTTCGTACTCTGGTTACTCGAAAAAGTTAGGAGATTTTTAATGTAATATTGAAGTTAAAGTAACATAGATTAGAATTGAACAATAATGCCTTCATATCATTAATAAACATATAAAAATGTAACCTGTTTTTCATTATTGTGTTCATATTTTGCAGTTGGGAAAATGAAAGAATTGCTGTAGTTGAGATGGCTGATAGTGTCCAGTTTGTATTTGCTAATAGGGTAAAATCATAGGAATACCTGGGTGCGGAGAAAAATCGAAATATTCTTGAAAAAAAAAACTCGCATAGAAATGCCTTTGAGAGTTCCCACAAGAAGTGTTATAAACGGTAATGTATTGGACTATTGGAGAATAGATAATAAAGAAGAGAGTTAAGTGAAGCTACACAGACAAGTTATTTAAAATTCTTATATAACTAAAAGTAACAATGATCGAAAAATTTATGACACTTCTTGAAGCAAGTTATGTAATGCTTCATTTTAAAAATTGAAATGTCGAGTTATTTATTTTGCTTAACGCGCGCCCTCTCTCTCAAATAAAAGTGAAATAAAAACACTTACAGAAAACCTGCAAGCAAATTGAATATGTTGCATTGTATGTTGAATATGCAATGTTACGAAGAAGTTAATTGTTGACGCCATAGGACGTGAAGAAATTGAAAACGTTCAAATAAAACGGAAAAATTAATTTTTTTTACGTGTTATATTCTATTCCTATTTATTTATGTACTTGTTTTACTTGTAACTGCTTTTTGGTAGCATGTGTATCATATGTTATCGGGAGACGACTTTCATTCAGTATGTACAACAAACAAATTTTTTTCAAATGCTTTTTGTTTGTCTTCTTTTCGTGGTATTCTGGCATAGATTATTTTAAAGGTATCATCAAGCAGAAAAATGAAATAAAACACATAATGAATACATATATATAAAGACAGGGAGTTAATTGCTATATTTCATTTAATTACAGCAATTCACAGTGTATGGCCTTTGTGAAATATGTGATACTATAATTCCCAAAATATATTAAAACCTATTTTTTTTTTAAATAGTAGGCTATAATTAGAAGGAATACATTAGAAACGAGAAACCAAAGCAAAAAAATATATGACTCATTTTGAAATTGACTGTATTCACACAAATAGCAGAGATGCAATGTATTTGGTAAATTATGTGAAGTACTCAAAAATATGATATTTCATAATTTTTATCAGAAAGATATTATTAAGGTTTAAATTGTATATCGAGGTCTTTGCATCGCAGCAAAGGTGTCGAAAAACAAGGTGCTGAGTTAGTCGAAATGTTTACAGACTTATTTGACAGAATTTCAGATGATGCTACTCTAAAAAATAGCAAAATTATGGTGAAATATCTAATCGCTAAGCACTCCACATAAAAAAGTAATATTATGTCTTTAAAAGAATTCTTTCCTTATATTTAGGTTCTGGAAATTGAAATTGATTTATTCATTAAGACGAGCTCACCTGTCTAATAAATAAAAAATTCATACAAATTGGGATTTTAATTGCATCCCCAATATTACTATTATATTTATTCAAAACTATATGAATTTGATTGTCGAACTTAGCTTGGACCAAGGATAATATCACGCCTGGTTATCATTTAAATAATTAGCTTAAAATTTATGGAATTTGATGCCCCCCGTGATTCATTTAGCGCTTTTTGCAATACGAAATTTATTTTCAAATTCTAACAAAACCTTAAAAGAATATCATGATTTTTCAATTTTTTTGTTGTTGTCGTAAAAGTTTCTTAAGAGTATTTTTTACTTTCTCTGCCGACATGATTCATGATGGTCACTAATTTTTAGACTATTTGCCGACTCTCCCCGATTTAGTGACGAGCCTAGTACAGATATGACCAAGATACTTGTTGTACAAATTTCAATAAAAAATTCACACGTGAAACCTTTTTTGTCTAATTTTAAAATAGTGTACTTAGTAAATATGTTTGATTAAATCTTATGATTACACAGAGCATTATATCAATTGAGTTACGTATCACTGATATCTTAATCAAATACTCGAACACTTTTTGTGAAGTGACGTACATTTCCATCATTTAAATAATTTTGTAGAATGCTTGAACGTACGTATGTATCGTTACTAAGAGAAAATGACTAAAAATAAAACTTTCAAATGTAAAAACACCGATATGTCCTAGAGAGAAAATTTTGTCCAAAATGAACAGTATAAAAAGTGGTAATGAAATTGACCTTCATGGTTCATGATCATTAGAAAATTTTGTGGCGCGAAGCTAAAAAAAAACACTGTAAAATTACAGAACATGTCTAGAAATATTGAATGTACTCCAGGTTAACCGATATATAATAACTCAAATAGACAGATCCCATATATGTTTTTTTTTTATCTCTATATACGAAAAATACAAATGATTCAGTAGCTTTGATCCCCGTTATCGTTTCTGCCACATGGTCGTACAAAAACGCTATTTCAAACTAATAACAACATGTTTTGAAAATTATGTTCAGTCAATCATCGGCATATTTATTTGACAGCGGATGATAAACCTCCCTCTCTCTCTCTTGCATAAAAGTCCTTCAAAAATAGTTATAAAATTTTGCAATTTTAAATCCGCAACTTTTGAATTCATTTAAGCCATTGCATAATTTATAGGTAGGTTTGTGTTAGTGGGCGGGTGGAGGTTGCACAATGGGGTTTCTAGTGCATTTGATCTTTGCATCATTCTATAATGCATATCTTCATACCCACATAAATGTGTGTAATTCATACACATACTTGGCCATATTCTGCCAACCCATTAGATCAGATTATTTAATGGTATAACAGCATCCTTTGCCAAAACCAGGGACTTCAATGCATTCTGCACCCGGATTAGATCGAGGTACATTATTGCAGGTAGAACTGTTTACCATTCCGCCCCGCATTGTTACGCAACATATTTTTTGGGCGTCGCTGAGTATGGAACCATGAGCTCCTGTATAAATTTCTCCGAAAGAAATGACTGACAAATTAATTTAGATGTCATCGATATCATTTCTGATATTCTGTTGAATAGCAAATACTAAATTGAAATTTGATTCATTTTTTATTAATCGATGTCGCCACGGCAATATTTCTCAGTCTGTCGCAATATGATGTAAGTATGTGCTTTATTACGTCGTAGTCAAAGGTAACAGTATATAATGGGTTTGCCAGTATTTGAAGAGCATATATTGAATTTGTGAAAGATCAAACAATACATTCCAACTTCCCTATTTGAGTCTGGTATATGGACAGTAAAACAGAAGTTGAAACATTAATGTGCCTTTATTGGTATCCTCGAGATTATGGGAATGCCCGATTCTAAACAATTTCCGTTACATTGAGTTGTATTAATAAATTGGCAAATTATAAATATATTATCGGTCTTTAGATCGGTAAGTATGTTGATACGTATTTGTCCGTCTGTCTGTCTGTCTGTCTCTGTTGGTTGCACGCGATATCTCACGAAGGCGAGGTTGAATCTGCTCCAAATTTTGCATGTGCATTTGAGGTGAACCTAATACAGAAAGAAACAAACTTGTATACTAGGCTTTTCTTAGCTCAAACGTCGACTAAGAGTCTTAAAGCAGCACAAACCAAAGAATGACTTTCAAAATCAAAACACCATGCTTGAAGGACGAACAGTATACGTCAGCAGGCTCAAATGTCGTGGCTGTTTTAGGCGTTGCTAGATTTCAATACATAAATCACCACATTCTCCCCAGCTGATAAAAGTAAGACAATAAAAGTATGATAATAACTCAAGTATGAAAACGTTAACATGAAATAAATGAATTAAAAAGTCGCCCAATTACGAGGCCCAGTCTCCATAACGATCAGGCACCCTCTTGAAACGGCTCGACCGACGAATAGGCATCTCCTCCTTCTTAATTGGAGTAGAAGTTTTATCTGCTACTTCAATTAAGTCATCAGAAGGAATTGTGTCATCGTTCTTCGAATCGAGATTCTCAAAACTGAATGGCACACCCTTAGGAGTTGATTCCGATAGGGATTTAGTCTTTTCAAATTCCAATTGTTTGTAGTCAGATGGTACAGTTTCAGGGAATCGCGCCAGATCACTCGTTGAAACCGTAGATTCTCGACCATCGGGATAACGAATTAACGAGTAAGTGATCTTAAAAGAAGTGATCTTGTCGCATGTAGAGCGTCTGGCAGAACTTCCTCCCAGGCACTCTCGAGCAGATTTCTTGATAGCAGCATTAGTTTGATAGTTTTCCATATGGTCTGGTTTGCCCTTTCGCACTGGGAATTCCCTTTCGGGTGATAAGGAGTTCCCCTGTCGCTGTGAACATACTCCGGTAGACCAACCAATGAAAATAATGATGCGAGACATTTAGTGACAGTGATTGCAGTCATGTCTGCACATGGGTATACAAAGGGGAATCTACTATACTCGTCTAATACCACGAGCAAATATCGCCTTTTTCCCGCGACGAGACCTTTAAAATCAATACTAATTCTCTCTCACGGCCGAGTAGCTTTGACCAAGTGATGGCTCCCATCGAATCTATAAAAGTTGGGTTTTATTTGGGCACATTGTCGACAATTAGCGCATTCTCTCTTCACATCGTCAACAGAAACGGGCAAAGATTTAGAGCGAATGAAATGAAGTAATCGACGAACACCAGAATGGCCCAATTGAGTATGAACTTCTCTTAGACTCATTGTACAACAAGCGTTCCTAGCACAAATTCTTGACAATGCGTCTGGTGCCACATTTTCTACACCTGGGCGATGAACAATTTCATAGTCAAATATGGAAAGTTCTAGTTTCCACAATTGTAACTTTGTATTCTTAATTTTACTTTTATGATTTTTTCGAAAAATGTATGCCAAAGCCTTTTGATCAGTTATCAGTTTAAATTTTTTCCCATGCAAAAGATATCCCCATTTTCTTACAGCTTCAACAATCGCCGCCGCTTCTTTTTCTATGGCCGGATGCCTTAATTCCGACTTACCGAGAATTAAAGGCAACCGGCCTTCCTTTTTGACTCAATATGGCTGCAATCGCAAATTTGGATGCATCACACTCAATAACAAACGGTTCATCTTCATATATGCACCCCAAGCACGTTTTTAACAAATCAGCTTTCAGTTGATTAAAAGAAGATAAAGCTTTGCCTTTGAGGGGAAATGATGTATTTGTTGAAAGTGGCTTTAATTTTTTAGAAAATTTAGATATCCATTTCGAATAGTAGGCAAATAATCCCAAGCAACGTTTCAAATTACTTCCATTTCTAGGTGGTTTAAGATTAATAAGAGGTTGTAAATGATCAGGATTTGGCCGAATTTTTCCACGTGATACCAAATGCCCGAGGAATTTCAGTTCAGTCACGGAAAATACAGATTTATTTTTATTTAATGTCAAACCTTGCCGCTCCGCAGCATTCATAAAAGCTTTCAATCGTTTATCATGTTGTGGTTGATCATCCCCAAAAATTGTGACGTTATCTAAGTAAGCAAGGGTGCCTTCAAGATTTTCACGCTCGATGAAAGAGTCCATGTATCTCTGAAATACAGCCACTCCGTTAGTCACTCCAAAAGGGACCCTGCAAAATTGATATAAAGAGCCAGCAGCTTCGAACCCAGTGTAAGGTCTGTCAACGTCAGAAATAGGAATTTGGTGATAAGCCCAACGTAAATCAATGGTACTGTAAATCTTTCCTTTAGCAACCTCGTTAATTGAATTGTTTATGCGAGGTAAGGGATACGCGTCAAGAGCAGCGTATCTATTTATTGTTTGTGAATAGTCAATAACAAGACGTTTTTTATGTCTTTGGTCTTTTGTGACCAATACTTGAGCGAGCCACGGCGACTCTGACCGTTCTATGATGCCCTCCCGCAACAAACGAGTAATCTCATCTTTGATGAACTTTAGATCATCGGAACTGTAGTTTCGGGACCTGACAGCAACTGGCTTACAGTTATCGTCAACAAATCGAAAAATACGTAAAGGTTCACTTACTTTTGCGCTAGCCAAATTGCAGACCTCTTTACCAACGTACAAGGAACAGGTCTCTGTTGAATTTGAAGACAACCTTTCGATGTTTGCTAAAAAAATCTTGGCCCAGTATGATGTCCGTACGCGGATTTTCCACAACACCAAACTTCATTGCATCATAAACTCTCGTTCCAATCTTTAGCGGTGCGTCCACATACCCAATGGTTTGTGCAACTGATTCGTTCGAAGCAAGTGCAATCACAGTTTTTGGACCGTAGAGGGCGAGGCCAAGACTTCTTGCCACGGATGCTTTTATGTAACTCTGTGAAGCACCGGAGTCTAGCAGAGCCATCAGAGGGTTTTCCGCAATTTTAGCAGTAATCGTCGGTCGTGACAACGAAGTATGAATATCAGCTATAATTGAAGTCAGGTGCAAATCGTTTACGGTAGCAACCGATTTCTTCGCTTTACGACAAACTGTTGCAAAATGTCCTCGAAGACCACAATTAAAACACTCTGCGTTTCTAGCAGGGCACTTCAGTCGATTTAAAGCATGAATTCGTCCACAAAAATAACACCTTCTACGGTTAACTTTTGTTCCGTAAGTACTTCTAGCAGCAGCTACGTGTTGGTCACTATTAGAGCCAAACTCAGAAAATTGGTCTTCTTTGTTTACCGAAAATTTATCATCCATTGAAGTAACAGCTGCTTGATGAGGCAATGATTGCTGGTACGAATGTGAAAATTTCTCGGCTCGTTCCAAAGAATCAGCAATTTGAATGTTTTTTTCCAGTGATAATTCGTCATATTCTAGCAATCTTTGTCGAATATTAGCGGAACATAGCCCTGTTATAAGCGCATCTCTTAGCGCCTCCTCTCTGTGTTGCTCGGCGCTGACTGCTTTGAAATTACAATCTTTCGCAAGCGACCTGAGCGCCTGGGAAAATTCGGAGATAGTTTCACTGCTCAACTGAATCCGTGTGGCCAGCGTGTGCCTTGCATATATGATATTCTTCTTTCTTTGATAATGTTTGCGCAAAATCACCATAGCTTCATCATACACATCCACATCTTCCACAAAGGAAAACACGTCAGGTGATAAATATCCACCCATGATAGCACATTTGTTGATTTGCCTTGAAACACCTCCCGAGGATCTGTTTGATTCCACAGCTGTTAAGTAATTTGTAAGCATTCTGTCCCAATGGGAAAATACTTTTAGAGCTCCAACTTCATTCGGCAAGACATCAAGCACTGGCACCCGAATAAGTTTTTCGTCGGAAGTTGCCATTGCTTTTGGAAAACCAGTTAATCGTTTCAAGTTTAAGTTATGAGCTAATAAAATTGAGGTGAACCTAATACAGAAAGAAACAAACTTGTATACTAGGCTTTTATTAGCTCAAACGTCGACTAAGAGTCTTAAAGCAGCACAAACCAAAGAATGACTTTCAAAATCAAAACACCATGCTACTAAAGGACGAACAGTATACGTCAGCAGGGTCAAATGTCGTGGCTGTTTTAGGCGTTGCTAGATTTCAATACATAAATCACCACCAGCATTCATCATATCTCGGACCAGAAGCCTATTGAATTTGGATGAATTATTTCGTATAATTAGCGAGTTATCAATAAATTAGTGATGGGACACAAGGTGTCACTATGGAGTAATAGCGCTATTTTGGGGGATCCCCTAACTAATAATCCCCTAATAAGTCTTCGGTCTCTGACCGATATTCTCGTTTTATTATTGATGTCATAACCCAATTAATGATCCCATATAGAGCATATACAAATAGGCCAATCGGACTCACCCCACACGAAAAGTACTTTCATCGTATATCATTTATATACAATCGACTGGTACCAAACAATATAAGTATAATAGTATGAGAATATTTTGGCCATTCTGTGCATTAAAATGGGGAAAATTCATCATAAAAGACTGGAAATCACTGTAATATTTTTTTGTCTGAGCACGGGGCTATTCAAAATGGCAGACTGACATAACCTTGCGGTGGTGCAATATGTGCCCGAAATAGCAGAAATTCCGTTAAAAACATCGATTCCACCATACCTGATACCTAATTTACAAAACTCTTTTATCTCTCATTTCTGATTTGAAATAAATCGATCCCCAGTTCCAATCGAAAGAACTTTTCACGAAAATAACCAGAATAATTATAAAATTATCAATATTTACACCTCTTCACCAATAAGTATTACTATATTTCCAAGTAACCACGTGTGTGAGGTTGCAATCGCATCTCAGAAAATGAAAAACAAGTCTCTTAGCTCCCAAAAAGTATTATTTCATACTTTAACATTGCTGCTATGCATGTCTGGTTGAACAAAAATTGCCACATGCCACAGTCATAACAACTAATAAAGACATTCGTTTGAGAAGCATCCATAAAGAGTTTCCCATGTAAATTCACTGTCAAACGTTATGCTTTCTTATGTAGTGCAACGGCAAGGTCAAAGAGTAAATATTTAAACAATTAAATATTTTAGTGAAAATAATTTGTTCTGAACAAATTTCTCTGTAACACACATAGTCATTCCAAGCAAGATCCATAATATTGCGGAAAGTCTTTGGAATAAATAACAAATCAAATGGGTAAATGTTTCATAATGATTTTAAATTGGTCAAAATTTAACATCTGCGTGGGGTGGCAAAAACTTCGCAATGTAGCTAAAATACTCTTTGTTGATAACTAAAGTTATATGGCATTAATGTGATAAGGTACAAACCATCAGCACAAAGATTTGTCGACGCTTGTTTAAGTCATATAAAACAAAGCAAATAAATTCTGATTATTACATTATATAACACAGCCATGACATGACCCAACTCAACACAAAGGAAAGGTAAACAATGACTCATGTTCTCCTATATAAATAGTGTTCAACTTAGTGATGTACGTGGTGTGACTTCAATTTAATTTAGGTCAATTCTAAAGTTTAAATGATTTGTATATCACCGTAATTGAATTCATATTATTCACTTCATGGGTTTGCTCGGCAATTATAAGTAGATATATTACTTGAGATTATTTTATAGATTTATAGACGTAATGGAATTTATTAAAATTTATTTCATCAGCTTTCAATGAAGCATAATTTAAGCATTTTTTTTTTCAATTTTTATTATGAATCTCTTTTAGTATTATTATTATTATTTTGTTGCAATTCAAAAATACCAAATAATTTTCATTGCATGAAACACCACGTAAATGCAAAATCTCCAAATAGGAATAATGATAGCAATAAATGAAAATCCTCTAATGGACAGGAAGTTAACATAGGAATCGTTTTGTTATTATGTTTTTGTTTGAAGTCTTTTTCATGTTTTTAATTGTTGTTATGAAAAATTTGCCTTTTTTACTAATAAAAAGGCCAATTTCGGGCGTTGAAAGTTTTGGGATTCAGCAAAAGTATTTTACTGCAATAAGAATACTTGTTCGCGTTTTGTCGAACATGTTTCTAGTTTATAATGGTGTTACAGTCGGGTTTTAGTAATGTTTTCATGTGTGGGATATTGTTGCAGGACCGGTCTATAATGCAAAGTAGGAATATATATCAAAGTCTGACTATAATCAATTATTGTGCGGATAATAAACTTGCACAGCAATAAAATATATGATGATTGCTTTTATTTTAAAGAGATTCGTTCAATGGAATATAATATTACTTTATGATCTCCTACATAAAATATATCACTTTTTTTTTATTGCATTTTTATATTTCATCGGACAAAAAAGTTGAATAAAAGGTGTTATAGTGGGTTGCTGTAATCTATCAGATATTTAAACGCATTTTGGCGAAATGAAAATGTCAGAAAATGAGTAATTGAATAAATACATATTATTGATGAAATACTTTAATTGTGAATGGTAGAAAAACTTTCCTTAAACTGTGGATACTGGATTTGCGCAACCGTTTATTCTTATATTATCTTATATCATCATTACGGAGCAACAGAAACGATACATAAGTTAGTTCTGAATTGTGTTGATAAGGTTTAAAAAAATAATTAAATATTAGAAAAAAATTCAACCATGAGATAAAATATTATTTAGAATTTTTGAACCTAATAAATGTAAAATAGGTATATTTCGCCATTTTTTTAAAAGTCTGTTCACATGCGGGCAAAAAAACCTTTTATTGAATGTTTTCTAAACGATAATTCTGATACTGCTTTTCGTTTTTCCTACGTTCAGTGAACCCAGTATTCGAACATTATTAAATTTTATCATTTTTATTTTTACCTGAGCTATTTCGTCAACGTACATTTTGAATAGATATATCACAAAAAATAAAACCCATAAATAACAGGGTGCTTGCCATTTCAACAGGGAAATTTGCAGTGTTTGGTTGGTTAGGTTATATATATGTGACTGTAAACATAATAGAGAGAAATACGATTTAAACAAATTTTGTAACAAAGTCGTTTTTTTTTCATTATATCTAAGACGAGTTTGTTTAATTATTTTCAGTGTTTATTCAAGTTTTTTTTTTATTACTTTCCGTACACATTAATATAACCCACCATTAGTGGTACAACGCACTTGGAAGTATTTTTGTTCTACCTTATTCAATAAATTTCTAAATGAGAGTACCAGTACTTGTACTTACACTTATTCCTTGATTGCAACAATAGCTTGCATTTGCTTGTAGCTTGTATCTTCGAGCCCTCTCGTCGCAAATATCAATTAAGGTGCACTGAATAATAACATACGGCCGTGCACACACCATTTACCAAATAAAAGTTCGGTTGTGCATGCCTGCGACCTCGGAGTCCACCATAACCCCGCCTTAAAAATCAAGCAAAACAATGTCTTTGGATACCGGTGCTGCTGCGTTTTTTAAAATGCCGTTTCTAGGGTTAAATCACTTGACAGTTCTCCGAGTCATATTTTAGTATGCGCATTTTTCTTTACTACGAACTTTTTTATTGATACCATACTTGACTTTTTCTCATATATTACTTACTGTTGAACTTAAAAATTTGATCACGGGTGTCGCTGCTCGTTTACCAGTATTGGTTTTTCGCGCTTTCCTGGAATCTGAAATGCCCTTCTTACTTTAACTTTTCTATATATATTTTTTGCACAAAGTATATTATAGGTATTGTAAAAAAATTAGTGATTACTTATTACTGATTACTTAAATCGAACCATATTTGCTTAATTTTTCTTACAGCGTGTTTAGAGAGTGAATCGGCTGACAGATTGAAATGTTTTAAGAAGAGATAAATTTAAAGTTAAAATGTGTGAGATCGAATAAATTAAATAAAAATAGAATACATTTGATAGAATACGTTCAAAGGGGAATTTTGCAATAATTTAAAATATTTGATGGCGAGCATCCACAACATGCCCGTCCTTGGTTAGACGTCGATAATAGGAAAAGTATTCCCGCATCTGTGATTTCCAACCCGGGACCTCTGGTTCTCAAGGGTGCTAGAGAGCAGTTGAAAGAGACCACAATAGTCGGCGCAAAATAGATAATAATAGGATTTCGTTTGCAAACCGTTTATAAAAAAATTTCTCGTTTTCCCCCAATTTTATTTCTTGATAATCAAGATAGCAGTCGTAAACGTATTGTAGACACAAAAAAATATACTCAAATTTGGCCTCACAAAAGTAATGCAAAGTGGCCAAGAATGTGCAAAATACATGCATTGATTGCATGTATCTTTGGAATTGGTCATCGGAGGTGGGCCACGAGTCGTGAAGGTTGGCAACAGGTGTCTTAGATTGTGATGAGTCTTTCTTGGTCAGATATTGATAAAATAAATTTTGAAATTGTAATAATTTGGCCACGCAGGTTGTGTAGCTTTAACATACGTATCGGCGATACAAGTTTCTTTTCAGTTAATTATATTTTAAACGTTGTTCTTCATTGTGTTCCGTCTGCTAATGTTTATCGATAATTGCTTTTTTGGTTTGACGCGAATTTTGCGGGCAGTACTGCACCTGACATGTCACGCGTGGCTCTTGCATCTCGACCATACGCTCTGTAGGTAGTTCTTGTTAACGTATTCAATATGCATATTGAATTTGTGAACGTCCATTATCAATGGTGGTGCAATGAGCAAGAGATGGGTGACTATGTGTATTAGTACCTAAATCGACTTGTTGGAAATCTTTTTTTGATAAATTTACAGTCTTTTTGCTTGCCAAAAAGTTATTCAACATATTTTGGTAATAAATTATTCAAGATATTTTACTTAGATTGCAAAGAATACGGCTCTGGAGTATCAAAACACTAGAAAATCATACAAAAGCATAGCGGGAAAGGCAAGATAAAATAATGTGGCTATCGCTTAGCCTTGCATTAACAAATGCAACGGGCAATACGGCAAAAGAAGTCAAGAGCAAAAACAATTAGGTATTTTTATCCATGTGAGCGCTTTTTTGAACATAAACTTTTGGATTACGATGATATGCTTGATGGGAGAACATCAGGGTTTTGGCAAAGGTCCCACTGAATGGCTTGGCGTGCCGGTTTGGGGCCCGCACGCCATCTGATGCACACGCCTGGTATGCCCACCCTCAATTTCGTTTTTGGCAATTCTGCGCAATATGGGAATATTTTCTAGCCTTGGTTTGAGAAGTATTATTAGCATGTACTTCGTATTCTTATATTTTAGATACAATTGGTTTGCAGTTGCCTAAACTATCGGGAGAACGATAAGAAATTTTGAAAGAATACTTAAACTCTTCAGTCTCCTATTTGTTATGGAGGGTAGTTGGGAGTTTAGTTTCAGTTGTATGTTTCTGATTCATGCTGCCACGGGACACCGTCGCCTTTCGTCAAATGAAATGTTATATTTGAGTATCTTGTAGCATGTCGAAGCAGCACATTTTCGTAACATGAGTGTTTGTAAGTCGCACACGGAGCAGAACAATAAAGCGTGATGAATAGTGGAGACAATATACATTGGTGAATAAGGAACACGGTAAAGTTACGTGCATTTTGTCGTAATTGAAGTAAATAAATGCCCAACTCATTCGAACTAACAAGGCACAATTAGGTATTTAGGCCACAATAAAGCGTATCAATAGGTCATAAAAGACAACCAAAAATTTTTAGGAAGCGAAGAAAGTTTGCGCCCCTGTAATGACTTACCCGATGAAATTCCTATAAAAGTTATTGGTTTCAAATCCGAGATGTAGAACAGTAATTAGTTCGAAAAAAGGTTGGGTATTCATCCACTGAAAATTGAATTCTTTTTGATGTCAAGATTGTTTGACAAGATTTCAACCGGTGATATTATTAATGCAGATTCAAAATAGGTTGTAGAAAAGCGTTCAAATTAATCAATTAAGTATCAGGTTGGCCAAAGAATGTTTTTGGTTGGTTATGTTAAATTTTTCAATAGGTAATAAATTATCTCATTTGAAACGTTATTCATTCAAAGTTTTAGTTGTTACATAAAGATTCAAAGAAAGCGAGCAACTTTTTCAGTTAGGTTTTTCAATATTTCTTGTGGTTTAAACAAAAACCTTCAATTAATAAAAATATATGGATAAATTGACCTAACTATGTTGGTGCTGCTTCCCTTCACACAGCTCGCAATAAGATGGTCGGACAAATAGAGTATACGGCTAAATTAATTGCATTTAGCAGTAACTGAAATAAATAAACGCCCGCCCAAAATCTTATTCGGTGATATTCTTCCGCGAGTAGTGCAGATTTGAATAGGTTATGGAGGAGCGCAATTCTTCAATGCAGTGTCTGGTTGGATAAATAATGTTTGCTTATTATTCTTTTTTTCGTAGATAATAAAGGATGTATTATTATTATAAATTATTACCAGATTATTATCATATTATAAAGGATAATTTATTATCTTATTTGAAACTTCATTCAAAGTTTTAGTTAGGAAACCCGGTAAAGTTACGTGCATTCTGTCGTAATTGAAGTAAATAAATACCCAGCTTATCAGATCTAACTTAGAACAATGAAGTATTTAGGCCTCAAAAATAGGCGTATCAGTAGGTCATAAATTACAAACAAAAATTTCTGGGAAGAGAAGAAAGACATGCGTCCCCGTAAGGACATACCCGGTGAAGTCCCTTCAAAAATTATCGGTCTTGAATCGGGGGTGTGGAACAGTAAGTAGTTCGTGAAAATAAGCTGTGTATTTAAATGTCAAGATTTTTTGACAAAAGCTCAATCGGTGATATTCTTCCGCGAGTATGGCATATCTGTAATGAGTTGTACAATAGTGTTTCAATTAATCGAAGCAGTGTCGGCTTGGCGAAAAAATATTCTTTTTTGATTAATATAATTTTTCCAATATATAATAATGAATATTTTACTATCAAAATTTAATATTAAATTATAATCATATTATAAATGATAATTTATGATCATAATCTTGTTTAAAACTTAATTCAACGTTTAAGTTGATGGGTATAGATTCAAAGATAGTAAACACCTTTAGCATTTGAGTTTCTATATTTTTTTTGGTTCATTCAGAATCCCTCAAAATTTGAATTAAACATTGAAGATTTGAGCGCTCAGCGTTAACTATGTTTTGACACGCATTGCCGGAGACCATATTGATCTTCTTGAAATTCCCTATCAGCCATACCATCGGAACTTCACTCCTTTATTGTTAAAGTGAGATTTCAATTCTAGCCTAATCAGAATTGTGTGCTTTTATCTATGCATAAATTATAGAACAACAAACTGAAGCAGTGTTTAGGCACCCCAGCGCATTCAGGTACTTGCCACAGCGTCTGTGCTTCGTGCTTAGTAATGAATGAGGAAGTTCAGAATGTTTTTCTGTATTGATAATCATTGATTTATAGCAAGAAAACTGTAAAGTTCTCAATAAAATTAATTACAAAAATCTACGTGTAAATGGTTCAATTAAACAATTAAAATTTAGAATCAAGAAAGTTCAAGTTTCACAGTGAACCATCTAACTTATTGTGAACTCAAACATCCTAGGGATATTGCTTTTAAATGAATGTAGTCTTTTCTTAAATTTTTTTCATATAACTTTGGTCTATTTAATCATTTTACAGTGATATAACTTTTCATGAGTATTAAATAGAATACATCGACAAAATGTCTGGCCCTTCACGAACCCTTTCGTCTACGAACTTGTGCAATCCCCCATCGGCAAGTAGGCAAGATACTCAGGTAATGATGTTTGTTTATATTAATCTTGATTAAATAAGTAAAAAGTATTTAGATTCAATAGTACTGCATTAACAGTTTTATTCACAATTTATTTTAATAAAAAATCAGCAGTACAATTAGAGATTTTTAAGTTGTTGTATTTTCATAATTTTTGATGTCCATATGTTAATTTAGAAATGAATAATGAGTATTTTGCCAGCAGACTTTTTGATTTTATCAATGATATTTTTAGGAGAGATCTTTGAAAATGCCTCCAAGTAGCGACTTGAAAGAAAGTGAGATGTGGAAAGAATTAATGCTAAAATTGAATGAAAAAGAGGAAAAACTGGTAAACATGATTCAATTTTTATTCTTAGTATTTATTGGATTCCACAAATAAAATATTTTGCAAGTTTTCAATGTTTGTTAAAGGTTGACGGCTATCTGGTAACTCTTTTTAGTACTGATTAAGAATAGAGGGCCGAAAATTCTAGCCTTGCCCGACCCAGACCCGTGGGTATTGAACCCGTCCAAGCCCGAGCCCGACTAATTAACTGGATTTGCAGGCCCGAGCCCGAAGCAAACCCGAAATTCCATATTTTATTTAGGAGTTCTTTGAATTCTCATTTCATGAGTTTAGTAAATTATGTGTCGTGTTGATGGGGCAACTTCTGTTTTTTCTGCAGACCAGTCGTAATCTCTTGTGGCCGAAACACAGCCGAAACGACTCATTAAAAAAATCAGCGATAGCGACCCGGACGTAATGATTTTATGCCCGAAATTCGCCCCGGGTCGGGTCGGGCTTGGGCTTCAGGCCTTAGCTCTAATTAGGACTAGCAACAAAGTACTACTGCAATATATACTACCTGTAGTACTACATGCATTTATAAAGTTGTTTTGCAGTGGGAGTAGACAGAAATAAAAGAAAAAGTAAAACAATTCATAAATCTGAGTCCAAAAACCTGTTATTGTATAAACATTCGAAACTTTTAATTAAAGAACTATTCCTATATTTAATTAAACTGTTGTGTCTCAACATAAATATTTCTATTCAATTGCCCTGACAAAGTGTTATTGTATAAACATTCGAAAGTTTCTCTCAACAGAAATAATTCTATTGAAAGTCGTGATGGAATGTTATTATATAAACATTCGAAATGTTCTATTGAAGAAGTTGAAACGGTTTATAGGAAGTATTCCTATATATTGCCCTAATGAAGTAATATTATATAAACATTCAAAACTCTTTGTTAATTAAAGAAGCATTCCTATATATTGTCGTGATGAAATGTTATTGTATAAACATTCGAAACGCTTTATTAATAAAGCATTCTTATATATTGCCGTGATGAAATGTTATTGTATAAACATTCGAAACGCTTTATTAATAAAGCATTCTTATATATTGCCGTGATGAAATGTTATTGTATAAACATTCGGAACGCTTTATTAATAAGTATTCCTCTATATAATGCCCTGATGAAATCTATTAATTAAGTAGTTTAAACGTGTTTCTCAGCAGAAACATTTCTATTCACTGACCCAACAATATGTGTCTGGCACACAGTCGAAATGTCTATTAAGAAGATTTTCTCTATATTGTCTAATGAAAATATTTAAGTAAATAGTTGAATCGTGTCTCTCAGCAGAATTTTTTTTTTCAATTGCCCTGACAAAGTGTTATTGTATAAACAAAATCTGTCTGGGTAAACAATCCAAACATTCATTCACTCAAAACTTTTCATTCAATTCCTCAGTGGAAGGTTCTGGATAAACATTTCAAACGTTTTTCTCGACAGAAAAATTTCAAATCCTTTTTCCACCTTAGAATGTTTCACTTCTAATATATCCACAAAATAGGACATAACCATCTCCAAACTTACTTATGGGAATGCTCAAACAAAATCTTGTTTGGTCTGGGCCACTGGTTCTCAACCTCTCAGGATGATAATGGACACAATGTAGACGCGAACACAATCAACAAACCTTGAAATCTGCTTGACTTTCTCGGCTCTCCTGTGCTCCAGTATCAGTAGTTTATTTCTACACATGCCGAACACATTGTTCGGTTTTGGGCCGCAAGATCCTCTCGGATGTTCAAGATCAGAATTTCGTTCTAATACTGCAGCATTTTAAACACAAATTTTTGGTCGACTACCGGGGCATCACTGTATAATATAATTTTATTATACTGAATGAACTAGGGATTTATCTGACGTTGATATCTTGAAAAGAACCTTGGTTGGTAGCATTGCGATAAAGCGAAGTCAGTGATGTAAAATAGATCAAATTTGTATGACTAACTCGTTAGGAAAATACGAATCAAAACTAAATATAATCGGGCAGTTTGAAACAATTTTCATGGCCGTGGATTGCTGTGGTATTTCATAGCAATGTTCTCAATTTGTCGAGGCAACCGCAGGTTACATTAAACACACAATTAAATTAATAAAGCAATAAATTATAAATAGACTCGTATCGGTCGTCAATGGAATACTATCCGCATCTGCAAAATCAATACCAGACAACATAAAATAAAAGTAAAAAAACATTATTCGTCAAACTGCCTAATTGCGGCGACAGTTGCATGAAAATTTTCGGAGCTTTCCCCTCACTTTTGGTAATCGCAACCTAAGTTTTATCGAACCTTCCTTTTGTGATGTTGGGTCGGCTAATATTCAAAATTCTAGTTAATAATGCTTCTTAACCAAAAACTCAAACAAAGTTTTTTAAAAAAAAAAAAATTCCCAGGAAAAAAATTACGATCAGAAATTTCAAGAGCAGAGTGATGAACATGCACAAGCTATGGAGAAACAAAAGAAGGATTTGATTAGACTATTTATACTTTTGCGGATCAGAATAGAAAGATACGGATTTCGCTAAACATTCTTTTCAGTAGTATATTGAAACACAACCAAAATTTTATACAAACTTTGCATGATAAAGTGGTATTTATATTTATCTAGTAAAACCCAATTTAAATAAAATAATTTTTTGAACAGGAAGAAAAATACGATCAGCGACTTCAAAAGCTGAGTGATGACCACGCAACAGCCATGGATAAACAAAGGAGCGATTTGGTTAGATTAGTTTTTTTTATTCAATTAAACAATACAATATGGTTTGCATCTACTAAAGTAATTATAATGTTGTTGTAGATTGTTATAAACGTGCGGCGCCAAAACTTCCTGAACTCAATCGTATGCCAAATTAATTTTCGGAATGAATATGTACATTTGGTAGCAGGCTATTGTAGTAACCCATGACCTAATTACTAAAAATTGTCTTCAGATTTTTCCTATTCTAAACTATACAATGATACCAAATATATTCATTTTCTACTTTTTTTATATTTTTTCGATCAGAAAATGTTTCAAATATATCATATTTTTTGATTAGTGAAAATCTATTTGAATTTGTTGTTAATTTGCTCAAATTTCATTTAATATTGAAGTATTTTGCATACTATACCAAACGAATAATTCGCTTTTTCTAGTTTTATTAACCCAATGCGTATTCCGACGGTCATGAGCTACTTTTTAAATCTCTCACAGAAACATGTTTTCTCCAAGTTCCAACGTGTTAAAATCACCAATTAGCTTTCGTTAAATTCCGCTAGATGTTGCTAGAGTGTGATGACCAATTTTCATTCTTATCGTGGTGGGATATTGAATCATAATTTGCCAAGTTTCGTGATAGCATTTTCGACCGTACTGAACCGAGTTTACGTGTAAACTATTTGGCTATTTTTATGAGAGTTACTATACTTACCTCCTCTTACAGACAAAACATGACTAACGATTTGAATATATACCAGAAGCGATAGGACCGAATTTTCTGTTTCCGCAAATTGCGCACTATATTTCATTTCCCTTGAATCTTAACTCTCTTACAGCTGTTGACCCAATTTATTTGACATGGTCTTTTTAAAGTTATTTTTTTTGTCAACCACTAAGCCCTAAAGCTTCTCTTATGGATTTTTAAAAGCGTGTGCTAGAGTTCTATTCAGCAATATATCTTTAAATTACACTCCGAAAAAAAAATTTTTTTGCAAAAATATCTCAAAAATTTCTAAAAATAAATTAGACTTTGAGAAATTCTGTGTACAGTAGAGGGTTAATAATTAATTCCTAATTAATTAATTTTTTTTTCAACGTTTTCGTCAAGTTTTTCCTAACACAACATCACCGAAACGCCTATTATAGCATAAATGGTTATTACTCTGAAATTCACAATTGTATCTACAGGTGTATCAAGTTCAAGGCTAAAATTACTGATTTTGATGACGTCACAGCTCTTATTATTACTGCACAGACCACCCCCAACGCAAAAAAATTAAATTTTTTCGACGGAAATGCGCGTAGAACGGCGTAAACAATCCCATACGCGGATTTACGCGTTAAAATTACCATTAATTTTACGTTTTTTTTAACTACAAAAAATCTCCATACTTCTGCCAACTATGGAGCAGTCAAAATCATATTTATCAAAACAACACAGCGCCAGGGATGGTCAGGGATAGTAAATATGTCTGAAAATACATGCTTAACCAACAATAAGTCATTATAAAGGAGTATTTCCTGTCTGAGCTGAGTCGACATTTTCAGACGTCTGACAGGCGATTTTGAAATCCACGCTATTTATAGAATTCGCACGATGCGTCACGGCTGGAAGGTTCCATCGCTTCTCTCATATCAGGCGATAAAGTCAACAAAGAGCTAAGAGCGATATTAACAGTAGTTTACCGAGCACAAAATTAAGCGTAAATATTCTCTCATATGAGCTGAGCCGCTGTAAAAGGGAAATAAGAATCAGATGGAATATCTCTGGGAATACAATCATTTGAGTGTAGATTGGCTTATACTGGCACATAGAAAATAGTTTTTGAATAAGTGCGTATCTTTTATACAAACTGAAATGTGAACGATTTTCTTGACAAAATATTTGAAAAAATTGTTACTTGGTGATTTGTAATAGTTATTTCCATGGCAAAATCAAAACATTTAAAGTTTAATAAATGAAATTTATTACAGGAAAAGAAACTTCAAGATCAAAATAATATGCACGCAGAAGCAATGCAGGAACAAAAGAATGAATTGGTTAGATTACTTATTCATTTGTAACCAATACATCAAACTACAAAAAAGATTTGATTCACCCTCATGACTTTTTTTCTATGGTCTCAATGGAGTCAAAGACACTTTGGTTATATAAACCACTAGTTTAGATGTCAATAACAATTTTTTCCGTATTCTAAACTATACTATGATAACAAATATATTCATTTTCTACTTTTTTTCTATTTTTTCAATCAGAAAATGTTTCAAATATATCATATTTTTTGATTAGTGAAAATCTATTTGAATTTGTTGTTAATTTGCTCAAATTTCATTTAATATTGAAGTATTTTGCATACTATACCAAACGATTAATTTGCTTTTTTTAGTTTTATTAACCCAATGCGTATTCCGACAGTCATGAGCTACTTTTTAAATCTCTCACAGAAACATGTTTTCTCCAAGTTTCAACGTGTTAAAATCACCAATTAGCTTTCGTTAAATTCCGCTAGATGTTGCTAGAGTGTGATGACCGATTTTCATTCTTATCGTGGTGGGATATTGAATCATAATTTGCCAAGTTTCGTGATAGCATTTTCGACCGTACTGAACCGAGTTTACGTGTAAACTATTTGGCTATTTTTATGAGAGTTACTATACTTACCTCCTCTTACAGACAAAACATGACTAACGATTTGAATATATACCAGAAGCGATAGGAACGAATTTTCTATTTCCGCAAATTGCGCACTATATTTCATTTCCCTTGAATCTTAAACAATATTTTTAAATAAGAATCAGATGGAATATCTCTGGGAATACAATCATTTGAGTGTAGATTGGCTTATACTGGCACATAGAAAATAGTTTTTGAATAAGTGCGTATCTTTTATACAAACTGAAATGTGAACGATTTTCTTGACAAAATATTTGAAAAAATTGTTACTTGGTGATTTGTAATAGTTATTTCCATGGCAAAATCAAAACATTTAAAGTTTAATAAATGAAATTTATTACAGGAAAAGAAACTTCAAGATCAAAATAATATGCACGCAGAAGCAATGCAGGAACAAAAGAATGAATTGGTTAGATTACTTATTCATTTGTAACCAATACATCAAACTACAAAAAAGATTTGATTCACCCTCATGACTTTTTTCCATGGTCTCAATGGAGTCAATGACACTTTGGTTATATAAATCACCAGTTTAGATGTCAATAACATTTTTTTTCGCATTCTAAACTATACTATGATAACAAATATATTCATTTTCTACTTTTTTTCTATTTTTTCGATCAGAAAATGTTTCAAATATATCATATTTTTTGATTAATGAAAATCTATTTGAATTAATTTGTTGTTAATTTGCTCAAATTTCATTTAATATTAAAGTATTTTGCATACTATACCAAACGAATAATTCGCTTTTTCTAGTTTTATTAACCCAATGCGTATTCCGACGGTCATGAGCTACTTTTTAAATCTCTCACAGAAACATGTTTTCTCCAAGTTCCAACGTGTTAAAATCACCAATTAGCTTTCGTTAAATTCCGCTAGATGTTGCTAGAGTGTGATGACCGATTTTCATTCTTATCGTGGTGGGATATTGAATCATAATTTGCCAAGTTTCGTGATAGCATTTTCGACCGTACTGAACCGAGTTTACGTGTAAACTATTTGGCTATTTTTATGAGAGTTACTATACTTACCTCCTCTTACAGACAAAACATGACTAACGATTTGAATATATACCAGAAGCGATAGGAACGAATTTTCTATTTCCGCAAATTGCGCACTATATTTCATTTCCCTTGAATCTTAAACAATATTTTTAAATAAGAATCAGATGGAATATCTCTGGGAATACAATCATTTGAGTGTAGATTGGCTTATACTGGCACATAGAAAATAGTTTTTGAATAAGTGCGTATCTTTTATACAAACTGAAATGTGAACGATTTTCTTGACAAAATATTTGAAAAAATTGTTACTTGGTGATTTGTAATAGTTATTTCCATGGCAAAATCAAAACATTTAAAGTTTAATAAATGAAATTTATTACAGGAAAAGAAACTTCAAGATCAAAATAATATGCACGCAGAAGCAATGCAGGAACAAAAGAATGAATTGGTTAGATTACTTATTCATTTGTAACCAATACATCAAACTACAAAAAAGATTTGATTCACCCTCATGACTTTTTTCTATGGTCTCAATGGAGTCAAAGACACTTTGGTTATATAAACCACTAGTTTAGATGTCAATAACAATTTTTTCCGTATTCTAAACTATACTATGATAACAAATATATTCATTTTCTACTTTTTTTCTATTTTTTCAATCAGAAAATGTTTCAAATATATCATATTTTTTGATTAGTGAAAATCTATTTGAATTTGTTGTTAATTTGCTCAAATTTCATTTAATATTGAAGTATTTTGCATACTATACCAAACGATTAATTTGCTTTTTCTAGTTTTATTAACCCAACGCGTATTCCGACAGTCATGAGCTACTTTTTAAATCTCTCACAGAAACATGTTTTCTCCAAGTTTCAACGTGTTAAAATTACCAATTAGCTTTCGTTAAATTCCGCTAGATGTTGCTAGAGTGTGATGACCGATTTTTATTCTTATCGTGGTGGGATCTTGAATCATAATTTGCCAAGTTTCGTGATAGCATTTTCGACCGTACTGAACCGAGTTTACGTGTAAACTATTTGGCTATTTTTATGAGAGTTACTATACTTACCTCCTCTTACAGACAAAACATGACTGACGATTGGAATATATACCAGAAGCGATAGGAACGAATTTTCTATTTCCGCAAATTGCGCACTATATTTCCTTTCCCTTGAATTTTAAACAATATTTTTAAATAAGAATCAGATGGAATATCTCTGGGAATACAATCATTTGAGTGTAGATTGGCTTATACTGGCACATAGAAAATAGTTTTTGAATAACTGCGTATCTTTTAAACAAACTGAAATGTGAACGATTTTCTTGACAAAATATTTGAAAAAATTGTTACTTGGTGATTTGGAATAGTTATTTCCATGGCAAAATCAAAACATTTAAAGTTTAATAAATGAAATTTATTACAGGAAAATAAACTTCAAGATCAAAATAATATGCACGCAGAAGCAATGCAGGAACAAAAGAATGAATTGGTTAGATTACTTATTCATTTGTAACCAATACATCAAACTACAAAAAAGATTTGATTCACCCTCATGACTTTTTTCCATGGTCTCAATGGAGTCAATGACACTTTGGTTATATAAATCACCAGTTTAGATGTCAATAACATTTTTTTTCGCATTCTAAACTATACTATGATAACAAATATATTCATTTTCTACTTTTTTTCTATTTTTTCGATCAGAAAATGTTTCAAATATATCATATTTTTTGATTAATGAAAATCTATTTGAATTAATTTGTTGTTAATTTGCTCAAATTTCATTTAATATTGAAGTATTTTGCATACTATACCAAACGAATAATTCGCTTTTTCTAGTTTTATTAACCCAATGCGTATTCCGACGGTCATGAGCTACTACTTTAAATCTCTCACAGAAACATGTTTTCTCCAAGTTCCAACGTGTTAAAATCACCAATTAGCTTTCGTTAAATTCCGCTAGATGTTTCTAGAGTGTGATGACCGATTTTTATTCTTATCGTGGTGGGATAATGAATCATAATTTGCCAAGTTTCGTGATAGCATTTTCGACCGTACTGAACCGAGTTCACGTGTAAACTATTTGACTATTTTTATGAGAGTTACTATACTTACCTCCTCTTACAGACAAAACATGACTGACGATTGGAATATATACCAGAAGCGATAGGAACGAATTTTCTATTTCCGCAAATTGCGCACTATATTTCCTTTCCCTTGAATTTTGAACAATATTTTTAAATAAGAACCAGATGGAATATCTCTGGGAATACGATCATTTGAGTGTAGATTGGCTTATACTGGCACATAGAAAATAGTTTTTGAATAACTGCGTATCTTTTAAACAAACTGAAATGTGAACGATTTTCTTGACAAAATATTTGAAAAAATTGTTACTTGGTGATTTGTAATAGTTATTTCCATGGCAAAATCAAAACATTTAAAGTTTAATAAATGAAATTTATTACAGGAAAATAAACTCCAAGATCAAAATAAAATGCACGCAGAAGCAATGCAGGAACAAAAGAATGAATTGGTTAGATTACTTATTCATTTGTAACCAATACATCAAACTACAAAAAAGATTTGATTCACCCTCATGACTTTTTTCTATGGTCTCAATGGAGTCAATGACACTTTGGTTATATAAATCACCAGTTTATATGTCAATAACAATTTTTTCCGTATTCTAAACTATACTATGATAACAAATATATTCATTTTCTACTTTTTTTCTATTTTTTCGATCAGAAAATGTTTCAAATATATCATATTTTTTGATTAGTGAAAATCTATTTGAATTTGTTGTTAATTTGCTCAAATTTCATTTAATATTGAAGTATTTTGCATACTATACCAAACGAATAATTCGCTTTTTCTAGTTTTATTAACCCAATGCGTATTCCGACGGTTATGAGCTACTACTTTGAATCTCTCACAGAAACATGTTTTCTCCAAGTACCAACGTGTTAAAATCACCAATTAGCTTTCGTTAAATTCCGCTAGATGTTTCTAGAGTGTGATGACCGATTTTTATTCTTATCGTGGTGAGGTATTGAATCAAAATTTGCCAAGTTTCGTGATAGCATTTTCGACCGTACTGAACCAAGTTTACGTGTAAACTATTTGGCTATTTTTATTAGAGTTACTATACTTACCTCCTCTTACAGACAAAACATGACTGACGATTGGAATATATACTAGAAGCGATAGGAACGAATTTTCTATTTCCGCAAATTGCGCACTATATTTCCTTTCCCTTGAATTTTAAACAATATTTTTAAATAAGTATCAGATGGAATATCTCTGGGAATACAATCATTTGAGTGTAGATTGGCTTATACTGGCACATAGAAAATAGTTTTTGAATAACTGCGTATCTTTTAAACAAACTGAAATGTGAACGATTTTCTTGACAAAATATTTGAAAAAATTGTTACTTGGTGATTTGTAATAGTTATTTTCATGGCAAAATCAAAACATTTAAAGTTTAATAAAAATGGCGAAATGCTGAACAATCTGTTTGAACAAATGAAGAAACTGCAAGTGAGAAGTTTTCTCTAATCCCAATACAAAATGTTATTAGAAAAAATTATGGAATTATTGTTTTTCTGCTGTAGGCAAATATTCACTTTAAATTTGTTTTGGCATATCATCAACAATTCATTTTACTCTTTGTAAAATCCGTGCAGATAAAAGGATCCATGTATTTATGTAATTATATTTATTTAGCTGCTGTATGTGCGACGTATTTTTAAATCGAGCTTATAAAAATACAAGACTATCTGAACAAAGCGCTGTAATTCGGAGAACTGATATATTGGAATGTTATGGAATCCTGTTCTCCGATAAATCATATTCTACCATATATAGGTGTAAAGGATGAGTGTTTCATGCTAATTACAGAATTATATCATAAGTTCAAAAATGGCTGTTTGGTTTATTCCGCGTTATTTATTTCAACAGGAGCAAACAGAGAAACAATTGAAAGACCAAAATGCGAGAATAGCAGAGCAAAGCAAAGAGTTGGTGAGTATTTTGTATTTAAAATGAAAATCACCAAAACCATAGTTCACAGCAGTGCAAGATAAGTTTTGAATTCAAATTCAAAGGTCCTCGACGGCACTTTTCTGCACCATATTCAACCACTGATATATCAAAAACGTTTTTTTTTTATATTAATGTACTATTCTTCTTATCACAAATCAAAATGAATAAAATTAAATCGCAAGAATTTAAAAACGTTGCTCTTTTTTATCCAGTGCTTTTTATTTCTTTATGAGAAATTCAATAAATTCAAATAAAATTCAGATAGGTATAAAGGATGGGTGTTTCATGATAATCACAAAATTATATCATAAGTTCAAAAAAGGTTGTTCAGTTTATTCCGCGTTATTTATTTCAACAGGAGAAAACAGAGAAACAATTAAAAGATCAGGATGCGAAAATAGCAGAGCAAAGCAAAGAGTTGGTCAGTATTATGTATATAAAATGAAAATCACCAAAACCATAGTTCACAGCAGTGCAAGATGAGTTTTGATTCCAAATTCAAAGGTCCTCGACGACACTTCTCAGTATCATATTCGACCATATTTACATTGATCATATTCAACAGAAGTTAAAACAATACATCTTTCTTATATATTGAAACAGTCCTAACAGTTCTGAGTCCTGAGGTCCTTGCTTGCTCCAGTTTTGAAAAATGTTTCAGAAATCAGAAAGTCTTGAGAATGAGGATTCTTAAATATTTTTAGATAAAAAAAAACAATTATTTTTTTCAAAAACACTTCGCTATTCGCACGAACACCGAGTACCTTTTTTAGGGTACAATAAAAGCCATTTCATCCCAAATATCTTCAGTTCATCCTAATAGTTTACTATAAGTGTAAAATACCTACCAAAATATCTCTGGTTCGGACTTATAAGTAATTTTACTGCAACTTTAATTGTTTCGATTTTTTGCAAAATAGAATATTACCAATCGTGCAATTATTTTTGTAGGTTGAAGTGAAAAACAAGTTAGACACTGTTCAGGAAGAGTTAGATGACATCAAGGTAATTGATTGTTTTGTCTCATACTTTATTCATTTTAATATTTAAATGCGTAATATTACTCCAAATGCTTATCAAGCATTAATATCAAACGTTCACCCCGAGTTGACCTGATGTTTAGCAGGGTATGCAATTTCCAAGTAGCAAAGCGTGTCCAATTTTAAATAGTTAACAATCGGTTTTGTCATAAAATAATTCTTCATTTATAGATGATAATGACCACATTTTTGATAAAAAACTTATTTGTATGTATTTATACTTTTTAAAAACTGGTTCTTGACTTATTTTATAGGATTTCGAGACAATGTACAACAAACTTGGAGGGGAGGTAAATAAAATTTAACACATGTTGAGATGTATATGGGACGTTGATAGATCAGCGGGTCTTTCAATTATATATCGGAATCAAATAGGTTAATAGGATATAATAACATAACGGCTCCATTCAAGTACTTTATTCAAAAGTATTTTTTTGTTTATTATACTCAATGAATATTCGAATATTATTAAAATGCTTTCGTCGCTAATGATATTTCTGATATACCTAGTTCTATTTATCAAAAACTTCTTCTTAACAATTTCGGCATCTCAATCAAGAGAGCAATGCTCATATATATGAACATGAAAGTATAATGACAATCTGAACATAAACCTGTCCTTCTAATGCAATACTAAAATCAAATTAAATTGCAAAACTTTCACCAACGGTCTACTGCTTGGTAGCTCATTGTCGAGAAATGGAGATAAACATGACAACAGAAAGCAAACTCTTTAAAAATATATTTGAATTCCAGATCATAATTTATCCATGATTTCATTACTAAAATATTATTGTTTTGTAGTGGATATTGGAGGAGGGGATTTCATGATCATAAGGGCCCCGGACTACGCAAGGCAATCTACTCTTTTTGAATCAAAAGTCTTTTGATAAATATCAAGATAATATACGACTTTTTGTTTTACTGATAATATATTTTATATTATTCATATTTTTGCCTAGACCTACTTCTATATGGATCTGGGGAAATGCTACAAAATGATGAAAGAAGAATGTAAAGGTGATAAGGAAAAGCTGAAACAACTGGAATCTTGGTACAAACAAAAAAAAAATATGAGAGTGAAGAGAATTGGCGTCGCCGCGGTTGCTGGTGGCGTTTTTGGCGGAATGATTGGGGGTCTCTCTCTCCACAGCCAAGCGTTTGTTTTATTCATAACTAGCATAGGAGTGCCGCCAATTGGCGTTGTAGCAATCGGTGCTGGAATTGGATTTGTTATAGTAGGCTTGAGTTTGGCAGCCTACAAAGCATATCGAAATGAAAAAATGAAAAACATAAATATTGATAATAAAACACAAGCCAAAGTAGGTATAGAAAATGAGTCAGCCGAAATGCCTTGTCAGAATGATTGTGAGAGTAAGACATCGGAAGTCATGAATGATCCCATGTCACTGTCATTCAAAAACCCTTTCTCACCGTCAACGATGAAAGTAATTATTTCTTATAATTAAATAAACACGATTATTTTCCTTATATACAAGGTGTCTCAAAAGTAAGGATACACTTCTAATGTTGATTTTCTTTTTAGGTACTCGTCCTAGAGCGTTCATTTCTTCAGTAAACATAGTATGGATAAGTAGTAAAATTTAGGTATTGTTTGCATTTTACCTCATCCCACAGAATGACAAGAAGATTAAACCAAGAAATGAGGTGAAAAATTGCTGTTTGTCAAGAAGCACATAAATCAGTAAGACAAAATCAGCGCCTCTTTAACAGAGAATTCGGAATTATTTTCGAATTTCTCGTAAATTTATGAAAACTGGATCTGTAATTGATGCACAAAGATCGAGAATGACAAGGAGCGTATGCTCTGAGGAAAATATTCAGAGCCGAATTGATTTTAAATTCTCTGTAAAAGAGGCACTGAGTAGGCCTTACTGATTTATATGCTTATTGCCGAACAGCAATTTTTCACCTCATTTTTGATTCAATATCCTTGTCATTCTGAGGGTTGATGAAAAACATGCAAACAATAGCTAAATTTTACTACTTATCCCTACTATGTTTACTGAAGAAATGGACGCTCTATGATGAGTACCGGAAAAGCAAATCAAAATTAAAATTACATACTTACTTTTAAGACACCCTGTATATATATAAAATAACAGTGAAACTCGTTTTGTATGCTGTCCAAAATGGAATATACAAGTTTCGGTATTCTTTACTAATTGAAGACCAAGTTATGAATAATTACATAATATTTTTGGTATCAGTTCTCATGCCCACAAACTTTTATAAAACGATCTAAGATGATATACTTGGTAACCAAAAATAAACGAAAATTTATTTCAATCGGGTCAATATTGAGGTCAGAATTTGAGTCTCAGAACTCGAAATATTTTATTAAATCCTGGAACGTTATTGATATTGTTCATGGAAATTTCTGTGGTGCCCCCATTCCCCTTTGCCCTAATACGTGCTTAATTTGCGTAATGATTAATCCAATCCTGTATATATATCAGAATGTCGTGTATTTTATCTTGTCAAATATCAATGTTGATTAATTTATATTGAACTTATACTCATTATACATATTTTATATGTATGTATATAAGAGTTATCATTTTCCCCCATTTTGCCCTTTAATGTATTTTTTTACTCATATTGAAAATAAAATGTTATACAATTCATAATTTTTGTGGATAATTCAATTTTTCAAAGTAGATAAAGAATGTGTCTAATTATAATATTTATTAATTTGCTAGAATATTGGCCAATTCAAGCTGCAGGAGATGAAAGGTTTAAGAACAGCTGAATATAGCATTATTCTATTATTCAGATTTTTATACCCCAGGTCATAACTGTGGAGAAGTTGAATTTCAGCGCATACTCTGTCAACTCTGTACCAGGTTGGGGCTGGACCATAATTTTATTCCGATTTCTTTATTTTAGTTCTATTACGAGTTCGGGGATTGCCAAGTGAATATACCCCCTGCCCAAAGGTTTCAGTCCCTTTACACAACTTGATGTAAAATAGGCAAACAAAATTAGTCAGCTACATATTGGTACACATACTTTTGAAGCGCCCTATAAAGAACCAACATGTTGGGTCAGGTTATTCAGTTGCATAACACCCTTTGCCACAACCAGGGACTTCACCGAATTCTGCACCCGGACTAGATCGAGGTAGATTGTTGTAGGTATAGCACTGTTTGTAAATCCGCCCTACAGTGTTACGCAACATATTTTAGGTAATGGCACTACGTTGCCTGCGCGCTGCTGTATATAAAATCACGAACTTATCTAATAATATCGCGGTTTGGAATAACTAAGAAGATATTCCAGATTTTATTAAGATCATTTCTCATATTTCATGGAATATTATGTACTAAATTTAAATGGTACTCCCGATGTATGTGAACCAGATTAGGGTTGGGACATAATTTTAATCAAATTTTCGTTAATTTAGTTCTATTATCAGTTCGGGGACTAGCAAAGTGACTCTCGTAGTATTTGTACATCAATTTATATTCTAACCCTAACCTGGTACACACCTGGTACTATCTTCCGGTGTCCGCCATCTTGGTTCACATACTTCTGGAGTACCGTTTAAATTGACTTATTCTCTCAGAAGACATTCACGACTCTGAGTGCATTTCTCAATACCATTAACTATCAAATTGTGCTTTTGGGTTGAGTTTAACGATATCTTGACGAGTTAAACAATTCCGTCAAACCTGGATTAAACAGAAACTAAAACAAATAGGAATTTCTCTCATTCATTTTGACTCTTGCTGTAGTGACCTATAGTCTGACACCTGCGTTACACAAAATAATGAATGGGGTATGGGTTTGTAAAAGAGTTGAATGTACCATTTACAGGAATGTATAAAACGTTATAGCTCAGATCACATAACTTTATTTCAAAATAATAAAAAATTGTAATCATATTATTAGTCGGCGATCCACAGATTAAATTTAGGGACTGCGCGCACCTTGCAGGTAAAGAGAGAATATCATAAGGTAAAGAGAGAATATCAAAGTGAAAGAGCTTATAAACACTAAGGTCTCCTCCATTATAGATTACTGATCAACACTACGCCAAGCTAAAGGATGACAGACATATATATATTTACATGTTTTTTTTTTTCTTCAATTTGAGCTATTATCAGCCATTTGATCAAATTCAATGGTACGTTTTATCTCTACATTACCGGTTCCCGACAACGCACATATTATATTATCCTAAAATATTTGTGCTGTATTTGATTTCTCTTACAAGCATGAACTTGGAGTTATGCGTAACTTTATAAGATTTGTTTTATTATGAAGCGCCGTAATTTTCATGAAAATCAAGGACAGAATGTTGGAGCGTTCCCATTCTAACCATACATCGTGGGCAAAAGTTCTCGGGACCTCAAATACCGTGCCACACAGTACTCGTGTTGTAATAAATTAGGTGGGCAATTCCAACCGTCAAATTTCAGGTCACTTCAAACCACAATGCTCTTTATATTCAAAGGCCAAAGCCAATATGCAATATAAAGCAAAAAAGAAATAGAATACATTCCATAAATTACAAAATCAGATATCGACCCATAGTAATCAATATACGAGGGGCGCAAAAATCTCACTCAGTTATCTCGTCAGCGTTATCTTGTTGTTCAATTACAACATCGATTATAGTGAGGGACGGAATATGAAATATTTTATATGGTGACCGTACATTTGAACCCATGTGTATATCCACGGGTTTAATCTATATGCGGGTGCTAAAACCCATGGGTTAGGGTTAGTATGGGTTTAACTATCCATGAAACAAAAAAAGTTCCGTAGGTGCAATAGCATACAGGTGCAATTGTCGTGGGTTCAAATGTACGTGGGTTCAAATGTAATGGAACCATTTTATATAAGTATACACAATAGAAAACCAGACAACAGAACCGAAATAAACTACAGAAACAAGGTACTAAGTCGCAATGATTCATGGAATATTTGATAACTCACTAGCGACATCTGGGGTTAGGCTATGGCTCATTGTTGCTGATGCCACCCTGAAGCGTATTCTTAATTTGACGCCGACAAATTCAATGGAAGTTTGTATGACTTTTGTGGGAAAGCACTTGTCATAACGAGAGCATCTGACGGAGAAATATATTCTGTTTTAATGAACATTTCCCTGCTTCAAAAATAGTACGTATGAGAGTGTTTAGTTGTGGCTTCGGTGCATCAACAACTCATAGTTTGTAATGTAGGCATGAGAGAATAAATCAAGATTTATTCAGCACATAATATCTAAAGGGATATCAGAAATGACAAGATTTGATCCAATTTCGCATTGCATTTGAATGATAGTATAGAATAGATCAGGGGTGGACAACCTTTTTCGGCTCGCGTGCCAAAATCGGCTAAATTTATCTACAAAATTCTTCCGCGTGCCGACCAAAATTAAAAACAATGCTTTGCTACTTTCAAAGCGAAAATACACAATATTAAACCTTTTAAACAAATACGGACAGATTCACTATTCAGGAAAATATCAGTCCGACAAATAGATTTGATTACTTTCCTTAAGCAATATCAGTGAGACTTCTGCTGCGCATTACCACTGATGGAGATTTGACATTGGGTTTATACTTTGTAACTTTCAGAGAAACACACAAACTACTGGTTTCATTAGTCAGGCCACGCCTATTTACGAGACTTATTAACTGAGAACAAAGATTCACAAGCATATGCAAATGAAAACATGAAGACAAGTTTTGCCCACCCCTGGAATAGATGATCAATTCTATATACAATTTTCACGGCATTTTCGCTGACGTATAGTTGAGCACACCTTGACTGGAACACACCACACATTGACTGGAACGTCTGTAATGTAGATGATAGATAATTTATTAGAAAGTATAACTTTGAATACGCAAAAAACTGTCAAAGATTTTACAACATACAATTGGCAACAATAAATCCACTCACAAATGGTTAAATATCAAATCATTATATAAAAGGTGTCAGATGAAGAATTTATGGTTAAATCAAATGTTGTGACATATCAAAATTTGTATCTCAGATATTCAAATGAAATTTTAAATTTCTGAAGCTTGCATGAGAAAATAATTATTCCCCTTGAAGCTCTCCAATTCATCATGAACATTTGACTTTCTTGACTTCTCCCTATAAAAAATGTGTATTTTGTATCATTTGAATTCACAATCACTGCGCACAGCAGTCGGGATGCATAAAATAGATTAATATTTCCAAATATAGGTATATATGATACGGTGTATTATGCAATGATATTCGGTCCTAGATTCGCTGTGGAAGTTCCCTGAACGGTAAAAAACTGATCTTGTACCATTAAACGTATACTGCTTGACCCCAGTCGCATTAGTATGAGAGCTTTTGTGTGTGTGTGTGTGTTTATTCGTATTTTACACAGACAAAATTGACATAAATTGAAAACAGTGTAAGCTGAATTAGCATGACATGCTTTATATCACGGATCCCAGATACAATGTATATGCTCTGAAAGGTCTGATTAACCCACCTTGTCATATTGCGACAATGCGAGAATATAACCTAACCTCTATTTGTGCACATATTGACA